ACAGCAGTCAGGCCAGTGGGCAGAGAGAGCAATTCACGCATGCAGGCTTGCTCTTCGTTGCCGGGCCAGAAAGCAAATTTGCGGCAACTGTGATTGGCTGTTTCCAGACGTCGAGATCAACGGCTGCGGGACTTCAGGAAAGTTCACTTCGGTGCAAGCTAGTCACGATACACACCGTGGTCTGTTCCAGTACACCAGGCTGCCCTTTGATGTCAAGACCGCTCCAGTCCTGTTCCAGCAAACAGTGAATGCAGTGCTCTCCAGCATTCCTGGCACGGCTGGGTACCTGGACGACATCATCATTATGGGTCACCCCCCGGCTGTGCTCCAAGACCGAGTGTGCACAGTACTTGAACGCCTGCAGGAATATGGCTTCCGATTACCAGATCAGCTAATATAGCGCCTATCATACAGTTGCTACATGACTCACGAGCCCCGCTCAATTGTCTGCTGCATACGGATGTTCCCTGGTGCTGGTCCCCCGACTGTGAAAAGGCCTTTGTCGAGCTGAAGTCGATGCTGAGTTCAGATCTGCTGCTTGCGCACGATGACCCGACACTGCCGATCATCTTTGTTGCAGGCGCCTCCAATCATGGCGTAGGTGCTGCCATTTCGCATACTTTTCCCGACGGGTTCGAAAAGGTGATCGTGCACGCATCACGACCTTTAACCCGTGCGGAGACGAACTATGATCAAATCGAGAAAGAAGCATTGGCCATCATCTTTGCCGTAAAAAAATTCCACAAGCTGCTCTACGGTCACCATTTCACGCTGTTGACCGATCATAAGCCGTTGCTGTCAATGTTCGATTTGAAGGCGGGCATCCCAGTCTATTCAGCCAGCCAACATCAACGCTAGGCAAGCATCCTTCTCGGTTACGATTTTTATATCCGCTACTGTCGCACTACCGACTTTGGCCAAACTGACGCCTCATTTGCAATCATTGAGAACCTGAGGAAGACACCGTGATTGCTGCCATAACGATTTAGGACGGAGTGCGCCGTCAGCTTTCGGATGCCATACGAGGCATTCCTGTAACTGCCGCCGACATCCGACGCGCTACCGAACAGGATCCAGTGCTTCGACAGTTGGCCAGTTGTCCAACCACTGCTCGCACTGGCGATCTTCACCAGCTCTTCGTGCATCGGGGGTCGCTGTCTGTGGTTGATTCCTGGCTTATGTTTGCAGACCGTGTAGCCATTCCTCCTTCCTTTCGGCCTGTTGTACTACGGCAGGTTCCTGCTGCTCATCCTGGTACCAGTCGAATGAAGTCCATTGATCGCAGTTTTGCCTACTGGCCGGGTATTGACAGCGACTATCTCGTTGGAGGCTGGTTCCGTTGTCAACAAGCTACCAAAATGCCCGCTCTTCATGCTCCAGTATCATGGCAAACACTAGATAGGCCTTGGTCACATGTGTACATCGATTTCGCCGACCCTCTGGACGGAGTCACTTACCTAGTCGTGGTTGACGCCTACTCAAAGTGACTCGAGCTTGCACTGCTGCATCCGGCAACCACCTCTGCCATTATCGCTTTCCTACAGCACATATTCAGTCAACGTGGCCTACCGGATGTTTTCGTATCGGATAATGGCTCTCAATTTACCTCATCGACCTTCGAGGATTTCTGCCACCAACACCACACCCAACATTTTTGCTCCCCGTCCTACCATTCCCAATCGAACGGTCAGGATGACCGTTTTGTTGACACATTCAAACGAACCCTTTTGAAAGTTCGTGGGGAGGGGACTACGGACTACGGACGAGATACTCCAGACATTCTTCTTTTCCTACAGGAGCATCCCTAACGCGGCGTCTCCTAGTGGTGTCTCCCCCACTGACGCCTTAATGGGCCGGAAACTTCGAACGAAGTTCTATGCACCGTTGTCTATTAATCTGCCGTCCTCCCAGTCACTTCCACCTGTCTCTCGCGGCAAGCTCTCCGTCGGAACACCTGTCTTCGTTCGTAACTACCGAGCTAGGTTCCCGGATTGGATTAAAGCAGAGGCAGCATGCTGTTCGACGTCCTTTTCAGTGATGACACCTGGGTTCGTCACCACAATCAGATCCGACGGCGGCAGTGCAGTAATCCAAACGGACCTGAATCAAACGCTTCACTCCCTCTCGACATCCTGCTGGACACCTTTTCCATTCCAGCAGACCAGTCAGTCCCGAACTGAATGCCGCAGCCCTTTCGGATGTCGCTTTCGGAATCAGTCCCTGGCACCGCACCTGCAGACCGGAAATCGCCCTCAACACGCCGGATCAACCGTGTTCGCCGATGAACGCAGCGCATACAGGCCAATCCACGCAATAAGCGTTACTGACATACTTGAAGGGACGTGTTGGGATTGTCACTATTCCCGTGATGAGTCAACACACACAAAGGCCTCGCGAGCTGCCTCGCTGCGGCCAGTCCTGTCTGCTCAATTCTAATTGGTTCATTGTTTTGGACTATGTCTCTCTCACGGCCCCGTAAATACATTCAGCTTTTGTGTTCGAAAAATGCTCTAAAGTGCTTTGTGTGAATACACGCTGTCTCGTGGTTGCTCCTCTTCTCCTGCTTCGCTCGTACGGGCCTTAGATATCTGTCGGCTAATTCACGTTTGTGTTAATTAAGAGTACCAGGCGCGAGTCGAAACACCATAGACGGCTTTCCGCCATAAATTCAGCGTATTTTGGCGCCTGCTTCTGCCTCTCTTGCCGCTGCACAACTCATCTAAATGCCCAAACGTTGATGAAGATTTGCAGCTTTATCAAACAACCACTTTTCACGCTCTCAACTCCCGAAGTTATTTCTTGTCTCCTCTCTCACATCTAAAAATTGAGGGTGCGGAACTTGCTGAACAGGTAGCTTATTTTCAACAGCGATTAACACCTTCATCCCGGAGTCCAGTGAGCCCATCTACCCGGAATCTTCAGCCTGTTTCTTCAACTCATCCCAAATCAGCTGCCACTTGCTTGTATCA